AATTTCTAAATTTCCGATTTTTTATATTTTTATTTTTATTTTTTATTATATTTAAAAAAAAATTATCGTATTTTTCAGACAAAGTAATTATTTCAAAACCAAGATTACTCGCGTAATTAAAGAGCTCAATAATCATCTATCTTTGTCAAATTTCAACAATAATCTAATCAGAGCTACTATGGTAGAATCGATATCGTAAAAAATGATCTATATCTTGGCTTATCGTCGAAACTCCTATATTAATCTTCTAGCTTCGTTAATCTCTTGATCTTTTTTTTTAATTTCTAAATTTCCGATTTTTTTATATTTTTATTTTTATTTTTTTTATTTTTTATATTTAAAAAAAAATTATCGTATTTTTCAGACAAAGTAATTATTTCAAAACCAAGATTACTCGCGTAATTAAAGAGCTCAATAATCATCTATCTTTGTCAAATTTCAACAATAATCTAATCAGAGCTACTATGGTAGAATCGATATCGTAAAAAATGATCTATATCTTGGCTTATCGTCGAAACTCCTATATTAATCTTCTAGCTTCGTTAATCTCTTGATCTTTTTTTTTAATTTCTAAATTTCCGACTTTTTTCTTATTTTTCCGGAAGATCGAAAAGAATAACAAGTTAATGTACGTACATCGAAGAATAACTCCCGATGCTCTGTAACTTGAATCAATGGATAGTGGTCAGCTGTCTTCGCAGGATCACGGTGTGTCAGAACAAAGCCCTCGTCGATAGCTCCAGAGGACTGCGGACTTCGAAACAAGGTGATAGCAGGATGTCTTTCTTTCTAAACGAAGATTTGCTTTATGATCTCTTGAGCGGCTGGTATCAAACTGATCGTTGAAACGGGTCGTCAGGATACTAATATTCCATGGCATACATATATGAAATCCCCAGTGGTCCAGATTACACGGGGGAGATTCTGAATCACGTGATAGGTCGCATGTTTGCAACCGTACAATATATAACTCCGTCTGTTGTAAATAGATCGGATTAATTTGTCTGCGGCGCAGGACAAATGCTGGCGTCGTTCTTCCTTCCGCAAGGGATTTTGCAATCGTTCCATTCGCTTTTAATAGCTCTCAATGCAAACCAATTTGAGAAACCAATACAATTCACTTTTCTTTTTCCTCGTGCGTCTACGACAGGACAATCTATTGCTGCAAATTGAAGATGATTGAAAATGATTGGAAACTTATATAGCCGCATAAAAAAGTAATTCTAAGCTCTTTTCTTATAGTTTCCTTTTATCTTCATATGTCACTTTCAGCGTTTAAATTCGATAATATTCCGTACACTTTATGGAATTAAATAATTATAGAATACCATCCAAAAAGCTTTTAACTTTTATATATTTCTATATGTGAAATTGATTTTCGTAATTTTGTTGAAACGTATTTTGTACCTCTATAACAATCGAAAATTTTAGGGATGGTTTTATCGATTCCTTTTATTTTTCAATCGTACTATCCGTATTTAAGTAACACAAAAGAACACTTAATAGCTTTTTTTATGGAATACGAAAGAAAAGAATCTCATTTTACCAGAGAACTTTATTTTATTTCAATTATATCAAAAAAATGAAAGTATAGTTTTGTTCGTTACATAGTCTTTTGTTCTTGTCTCGCGTCTATTTTTTTTGTCGATTATTTCATAAAATTTCAGCGAGCACAGTCAAAAAAAAAAAAAAA